GCGCTGCAACGAGTTGCCGCGTTGCGAGCCACTTGCGCATGGCGGCCTGAATGTCCGTCGCCATGAGCCGCTCGGTCTTGTAGCGCGACGCCACGGCCTGGCCTCGCCACATGGCCTGGACGTGGATGCAGCTCTGCAGGAAGTTTGCGCTGGCGCGGAGCGTAGGCGCCTCGCCGCCCTTCGCCACGGTGGTCGCCTCGGCCGTAGCCAGCTGCAGGTCCATGCGCACCTTCTCGAGTGCGTGTGCGCGCTGCTGGGCTGCCATCATAGCCTCCATTTGCTTGGGGCGCTCGGCCATCTGCCGCTGCTGCTGCATGAGCAGCGAGACGTCAACCGAGGTTGGCTCTGCCGTGTATTGCGGCGAGAGTGAGGCGGGGGGCTCTGAGGAGGTGCTCGTCCCAGCGTGCCCGACCGCGGTCCACGACGAGCTGAGGCCGTCGCCGACGGAGCTGTGGGGATTGCCTGCGGCCTCGGCCGCATACTCGTGCGCACCCATTGCTGGCTCAGTTGCGGGGAGTGTTGCGGGAGTGTGCAGGAGCCACGAGGACGCTCGAGTTTTGGCAGGACTTCTAGCCGGCGCCGAGTTTGGATCTTATTACAGATTTACCACAATTTACTCCCTCCCATAAATTAGCTCTTCGCGGATTTCTGTTTGGGTGTACGTACTTTTAGCTTACTCTGAGTGTACGTACGTACTTATAGCTTACTGGGAGAAAAGAGAGAGGGGGGTTGTGTTCTCTAGGCCCCTATGGGCCCTACGCGCGGCGTGAGAGCTCGGAAGCGAGCTTTGCACGGCGATCGAGGATGGCACGGTTTACCCCCTTCACCGAAGCGATGGAGATGCGTTCCGCGTGGTGTGACACAAATGAGAGGCGGGAGTGGGGAGGGTACGCGGTGCGGTCAACGCCCGAGCGTTGAGCCTTGCGCGCAAGGCGGTTGATCTTTGCAACTGCTGGCGGCGAGAAGCCGCCGCCGAATGTCTCGTGGAGAAGCAGGTTGAACTTGTTGCGTTTGGTGAAGATCCCATCATGGTAGTGGCCACGCTGTGACTTGACGTAGCCTTGGCCGGTGGTGTGGTCGAACGCCCGTTGACCACGGAACCCGCGTTGCTTGCAGCCCATGTTTGCAAGGCGGGCGCGCTCTTCGGTGTTGCCGAAGGCGAACTTGTCTCCAACGGAGCCGGGGTTGCCTCCGGTGTCGGCGCGGCCGACTCCAACGGGCAAGCCACCCCGGAGGGGGGTCCAAAGTTTGACCTCACTGATCTCGTCTTTGCCCCCGGGAGCCGCGCCCGGCTCAGCCAGGTCGGTTTTGTAGCCCTCGTTGAACTGCTTGGTGAGCTCAGGTTTTTCGGCATCTCCCATAACGGGCCGGGAGATGGAGACGGCGGCGACACAATCGTACCAGGCGCGAAGTACGCCGTCGTGTGGGCGCCGCCGGGCGGCGTTGTTGAGGAACCAGTCGCCATGGTAGTCCTTTGCGCCACCGACTGTGTCCCCAAGCTCGAGTGCCCGCGTGACAGTCGAGCGGCACTGCGAGAGGTGAAGACCGTTTCGGCGCTGAAGTTC